AAGAATGATCGTTTTTTGTCACTTGAAAGACTGTGATTGCGGCATCCAAACACCACATAATTCCTTGGCACTATGCGCTGCGTGCATTGTGCGGTGCGTTACTACGGTTTGTTTTCATCGGCTCGAATCTACATCCGGTCAAATAGTCAAAAGTTCCCGGATGTCCGCCCCCACCTATAAGGCACTAGCGCATACACACACAGACACACACACACAGACATTAGTGCTTCATACCACACCCACACTGAGTGTCTCATTAAAATTTGCATACACATATGTTCATACATACCATGGATGACTTACCATACTAAGAATGCTAAAATGTAGACTACAATTAATGTTTGATATAATATATAACCATAATATATCTCTAATCACAACCCTGAAAAAATAAAATAATATTAAAATAAAAACAAATTTAACACATTATTTGACTACAGATGGCACTGCTATACAATATGTCAGCGTCTATGGCTGTTGAAAATTTTGGCTTGAGTTAGCAAAATATTATTTATATGGCGTAACGTTTATGAAATAGTAACTAATAATACTTATATTGGATACTAAAACATATCAGTCCACAGGCCGTCAGCCCCTTATAATGGAATTTACTACAGAAAATGTCGAAAAGGTTAGTAACTAAGTAAGCAAAAACTGAACTGAAGTGCCGGGCGCTTACAACTTACAACTAATACTAATAGTAATAGTAATAGTAATACAAGTTACAAAAAGAATAATAATTTATTAATATTATTTATAATGTAATTTACGCGCACCTCAGGCTTGCAAAACCGTCTACGTGATGTTATTGTGACACTACAATTACAATTGTTATTGACTACAATTACTAATACTAGCAACGAGCGTTGTAACTTGTAATTGTCTATAATCATAATGATAATGACAATGTATAATATTAATAAATTAATATCATGGACATTATGAATATGATGGTGTATAACTATAACTTATAACTATAAGTTATAGTTATAACTATAAGCCAGTTCGTAGTTAGCCAAGGGGTTGTGTGACAAAACAGGTCACCGGGTCATTTGTGAGAAAAATCGATGAAATCTCGAGTGCGGCGTGCACTCTCGGTTCAGTACGTATATGTACATGTATTCTGTGTACGTGTACACGCACGCATGTGTACGTGCACACACACGCACTCACGTGTACGTGCGCACGCACGCCCGCACGTGTACGTGCACACGCACGCACGCATTTGTACGTGCACACGCACTCATGCATTTGTACGTGCACACGCACGCACACGTGCACGCACGCACGCACGTGCACACGCAAAGACTGTAGCATTACAATGACACACATGCATGCGGCAGCGTGTGTGTACTGTACGGTCGAAATACGAAATATTTTGTCACAAATGACTTGACCCGGAAGAATTTGTGGTTAAGTTTGCGCATGCGCAGACTGTTACTACGAACTGGCTTATTGCATTGACAAGTGCTGTATTGTATTGACTATTATTGACTGTTTCGAAAATCGTCATTGGCATTGGTAATAATATAATTTACTTATTTTTTGAAAGGCCGTGATGCAATTTTACCATGATATCAGCCAACAGAAAAATATCAACCTGTGGTTAACAAGTGCTCAATCTTCAACTGCTGCTTGGGTGTTTGCTTGGGACTTACTTTCGCCTAAAAAGGTATACACTGAAAATTAAAGTTGTGTGCTGCTGACAGATTATATGGAAATCCCGTAGATTATTATTTCTATATTAGATGTGTGCGTTTATGAGTACATCAGTGAGTTGTGAGTGAGTGAGTGTGAGTGTGTGTGTGCGCGCGTGCATGCGTCTGTATGTGTGCGTGTGCGTGTGCGTGCGCGTGCGCACGTGAGTGCATGCTTGTGAGAGCGTGCGTGTATGTGTATGTGGGCATGCATGCGTGTGTGTGTGTGTGCGCGCACGTGCGTGAGTGTGTTTATGTAGTTGTGCTATTCTTGAAAGAGGTTCTGGCGTGAGTGTATAAATATTTAGCAAACCTGTAAAATAATGGTAAAATAAGTGTAGATGTAATGTCTACTAACTTGGTTGTGTTTTGCAGAGTCAAGAAGTGCAGTTTTTTGGAGCAAGTACGATATATGTGAAAGTATCAAAATTCTGGTAAGTTGAATAAACAGTCTATAGCAAATGGATAGACTAACCTCATAAAAAACGTAATCAGTCTAAAGTATTCAATGTTTACTTGAAAAGCATTATATATCTGTGAAATGTTACAAATATTCTAGGGCTGAAATACCACCTGAGGAGTACCAAACATTGAAATGTCGCCTGCTAGACATAATCAACACATATGCAGCTGGTGGACCGAAGATAGTTCTAACAAGAGTCTGTATAGCCGTAAGTTTAAGCTGATATATAAAAGTAAAAACTGCCACAATTACAGAATTGTGATGGAGTATAAAACCCTATCCTTCATAAAGAATATGGACTAGTATTATTGTCACCCATGACTTCCATTTAGCACCGAGGTATGGGTTTAGATATGGTCTAAATAGCTCAACAGGGAAAACTAGACTGTACTTGTGCATTGTAGACATGTGTAATTTACACAGCATATTACACAGTTTTATTGGTAGAATTTCATTATATCATTCTTAGTTATTATTAGTAATAAAATTGCTTTATATAATCGTTGTAAGTATACTATACATGCTGTTGTCACAGTATTCACAAGTTATAGAATTAGTGGTCAAGGACTAAAATTGTGGCAATATTGTTATCACATTTTGTTATTACTGCATATGTGTTTTTAATGTATATTATATATGTAAATGTAATTTTCTTTAGCTCTCAGCCTTTGTCTTGAACACCATATCTGGTGCGTGGCCGGATGCCGTCAGCGCCATTATTCAGCATTTCCAACCAGCAAATCTGCCACAGTTGCCAGTAAGTCGCCAAGAAACAGACGTGCAGAACTATGGGTTAGATGTTCACATAGTGCTTGTCTTGCTTTCTAGATAAAGCTCTTAATACTTTCGAAGAAATTTTACTCTTATTATTTGTTTGTAAGAAAATACATCACTATTCGATTTTGAATGTTAGTTTTAGGAGACAGAAACATTTGGAATAAGAGAAGTTCAGTTAGTCATATATTTTCATTTGTGCTTTATTGTTTTACAGACGACACAAGTTTTTTGCGTTCTTCTGGAAATACTCAAAGTTATACCAGAGGAGGTGAGATTTATGCTGGCACAGACAAACCTTTGTTAGGCAACAGCTTAATAGAATAGATACCTGTCTATAAAAGACACTGACGTTTTCTCTAAATTATCATTATATGCAGGTTTGGTGTATCTATTTCTAGTTCCTGACTGCTCAGATGAGTTCCTCAAGGCGGGGCGTTCTCAGACATGATCTACAACAGGCATTAAATTCCGGTGAGTCTGCTCATTTAAAGGTATCATGTCACAAAAGTTTCACTTCTACAAAACTATTATTGAACTTGGTGTCGTTTCAAATATCAAGTGGTCGTTTGCAATGTAGGTAACCTGAAACATAACAAAATGTGTTTAGCACAGTGGACATGAAAAAAGTCTTGCCTAGACATAGTTTAAGTTATGAAACGTAATGTAACATTAAGTGAATGAGAGCCCTTCGATCATGCACAGACACTGTACTGTGCAAGGATCACAGTGCGGTATTTCATCTATATATTGTCACGATAGTAATGTAATCTGCCTAAGGAAAGTTGTGCATTTTTGGCGACGTTAAAACTATCTCTGCTCTGCGTGCTTCCCCTAAAATCTACGAGACTCGCGCTTGTTGCCCGCGCCTGCGCCGCTCGATTGTCTCGCTCACACCCACGTAACGCGTCTTCCCTCAGCCCTTGGGGCTGTCGATCACGCCACCGCGCCGTTAGATCATCTCTCGCTGTCACTCCGGTAACACGTCCTCCCTCGTCTCTCGCTCTCACTCCGGTAACGCGTCCTCCCTTGTCTCTCGCTCTCACTCCGGTAACGCGTCCTCCCTTGTCTCTCGCTCTCACTCCGGTAACGCGTCCTCCCTCGTCTCTCGCTCTCACTCCGGTAACGCGTCCTCCCTCGTCTCTCGCTCTCACTCCGGTAACGCGTCCTCCCTCGTCTCTCGCTCTCACTCCGGTAACGCGTCCTCGCTCCCTCCCTCGTCTCTCGCATCTCCGACTCTTGTAACGCGGCTCCCTCATCTCTCGGCCTGTCCAACTCCTGTAACAGCGTCCCGCCCTCGATCTTTTCTGCTCTCACTGCCGGTAAACGCGTCCTCCCCTCGTCCTCTACTCGCGCGTCCCACTCCGGTAACCACGTCTCCCTCGTCTCTCGCTCTCACTCTATGTAACACGTCCTGCGGCCTCATCGTCGGTCGCTTTCACTCTGTAACGTATCCTCCCTCGATCTCTCGCTCTACTCCTGTAAGCGCATCCTCCCTCATCTCTCGCTGATCACTCCGGTAACGCGTCCTCCCGTCTCTCCGCTCTCCACCTCGCTGTATAAGAGGCGTCCTCCTCGTCTCTCGCTCTCACATGCTGTAACGCGTCCTCCTCGTTCTCGCTCTATCCGGGTAACTGGCGTCCCTCCTCGCGGTCTCTCCGGCTCTCGACGTCCCTAGTAATGCGTACCTCACCCGTGTCTCTCCGCTCATCACTGATGCCTACCGTAACGCGTCCTCGCTCAGTCTCTTGGCTCTCACTCGCTGTATAACGACGTCCTCCTCCGGCTCTCGCTCGCTCACGTCACCTGTAACGCGTGCCGCTCCCTCGTCTCTGAGCTCTCACTACTCCGGTCAACGCGTCTCCCGTCGTCTCTCGTTCGTCGTGACGCGCACTCGCATCGAAGTTCGTCTCTCGCTCGCGGAATCCTATAACGCATCCACTTCTCACGTCTCTCAGCTCGTCGCAGGTGCTGGAGGCTTCAGACCTGTATCCAGTGCGCTGGGCTGCACCCGCTGCCACGCAGGAGGTTGACGGCAGGAGGCGCTGCGCTGCTTGCTCCAGCTGGGTGGGCACGTTGGCGTGCCGCCTGACTGGAGCTGAGTCGCTCGTCGGCGATCGTCATCCAGGCGCTGCACGAAAGCAGCTGTTTGAGGTCGCCGTGCACGCGCAGTCGTCGACGTGTTCTCGGGGCGACGCGCGGGACTCACACAGGTGGACGGCTTCGGTAAGATGGATTTCCAATTTATTATATCAGATAGCACAGGATCTATCAATATATATATATATATTGAAGACTCCTGATAGTAGAAGGCTGGGAGAGAAGGAGGATATGTAGTAAATGGTGGCAGAATGTAATATAATGAGACGTTCATTATACAACGTGTTCGTGTACCCCGGACGATCAACAGGTGACCGCATTCCGTAAGGATTGGGATTCTTTTTTTATCAGGAGTAGGGCGAGTGTATAGTAGGAAAACTGGGAGAGTGGAGGAGAAAGGATATGTAGTAACTGGGTGTAAATGCTTAGACCTGCGTGACAGTTAATAAATGTGTGGAATCTTGCAGATTTTCCGGGGCATGTTAATAATGAGATTGCTAACCATATTATCATGAGCCCGATGAGTTGCTCAATAGAGCTATTCAGCGGAGCAATGGATGAGGTGAGCTTTGAGGTTTTCATACAGTCACAGCCGTTGATGTGTTCTGCTGATTTGCCGTCAACTATATGTTCATCACAATAGTACCTGGGGGTCATAGCAGGTAAACTCAAATGTTATTATACAACACATGCATTATATAGAGTAATATAGGACTTAGATATAAACCCTAGTATATAGATAGATAATATATATATATATAGCTATGATCTTTGTCAAAATATAGCAGTAAACACCTTATCAATGTAGCATTTTAATTATTTATAAATTTTACTTGCCATCTACAATTGTCTCATATATTTGAAGCACAAGATAATGCAAATAAGAAGAGGGCAACATATATGTAGGTAAAAAAGTCAGCGTTTAAATGGATGTGTTTTGAGAGTTTTGCATCATTTTTCTCGACAGGGAAACCGTGCAGCAGGTCGTGTTCAAGTTGCTTGTGGCTATCTCGAAGCAACGCATTCTATGACTAATTGTTAGAGAATCTTTTGCTGGAGTCACCGAACAAGATAAATGTCACAAAGCTACTGAGTATGATCTTGTAAGTACGGCTAAGCTAAACGTTCATGTGCATTAAGTACTAAATACCGGCATGGCACAGGGTGAAGGTTAAGAGCGGAGTAATGCAATCAATTCGCACATGTCAATAATAAGCCAGATGAACTACATAGATCGAAATGAGATTTCAATATCAATCGGTTTATTGCTAAATCTCATATGAGAAGCGTTGACACTCTTAGAATATCTTGCCTCTACAGAGCCTATTCAATCGTTACAGTAAAGAACAATGCGTACATTGGTGAATCATTATTAAAATATAATTTAAATGTAATAAAATTTTTGTTGTAATTTATAATAGTACCGCTTCTGATGCTAATTTCTAGATTGTCACATAAATGTTTCAGCAATGCAGGCAGTATGCCAGTTATTTTGCAGTGAATGAAAATTGTGTGACCTATTGCCCCATTTGGTTTCTGTATAGTACTTGTCAGGTAAGAAAGATTCATACAGATATATCGATGTAAGTAGATAATCTTTTGAGCTTTGTTCCGATATTCAAGAGTAACGAACATTCAAGTGAGATTGTCAACATAATCAACATTTTTCAAATGGCCTAAGTTTAGTGCGATTTAAGCCCAAAAACAATCGCACTCCATCCTCCTGCTCACAACCATGCACGGTTGATTGGGAGCCGTGCCGCTAGTCTCTGTCGATTCGGCAAGCGAGTCACAAAATTTGAGCGGTATTTGGCTCATACACTATGACCTGGCCCTCGGCGTCTCGCGTGCTTTCAGGCTGAGCCGTTATCGGCTGCGGAGGCTGGCCGAACGAGCACTTCCAGTTTAAACGGGAGATACGACGGCGCCGAGCTAGTTTGCCACGCTCAGTACGACTATCTTTCTGCGAAGGTTCAGCTTCCCTGATGACCAGCATTATGAGGAGCTGGCCGAGGTAAGAAGATCGAACGCATAACAGATCGAGAGTACACGATCGGGTAGTTCGCGGGACATTTACGTAACTCGTTGTCAACGCACAGTCAGAACCAGGTGCTAGTGGAACCTGACTGTAGATTCAGTCACCTAGGTATTTGGCTAACAAGGTATCAAAGGTATAAGGTAACAAGTGGGACTACAATAATGGTAGGGGTTGATGCAAATTTATACTTTTTTAAAATTTTTTGTTTTGTAGGCAATTTTGATTACTGTTGTCTGGAAGGACAGAATTTTGATACTGTTTTGTAATATCCTGATGGGCAGCCACTGCACGGAGACCTGGAGAGAGCGGGAAAATGTAAAAAAATACCTCTTCTAGCGTCCAGTATATGTATAGAGCTGTATAATGTTTGTTTAGTGCTGAGGGTATAAGCGAGATCAGATCTTCTGCCATAAATGAGCGTTGCAAGATGGAGAAGGAGCAGTTTCCGCTGCTACAGAGCAGGATGTGGTCGGACACCGATCATGTATTAGGTAAACACATAGGAGGGAAGAGCCTCTGCGAGTCTTCGAGAACTCATGAGCGCACGCATTCTCCAGACCCCACACCAGCAAAACAGGTGGCGAGGTACAGACTGTTATATTCACTGAATAAGAGCATTACGCGTGTCAACTGTGCATGCTCGGTAATCAGGTGTTGTGGCAGTGAGGAGTAGGCAGAGCAGCTCTATACCGGAAAGCCTGCCACAGAGTGGTAATAGCACAGGCAGCCAGCTGTTTATTTTGGAAAATAACCTGTGTTTTGAGGGAGGACCGCGGGTGTGAGAGAGTTGAAACCTGTCACAACGATGTGAAGTCGCATTGAGTAAACGTTTCGTGGAAGCTTGGATGCCTAGCGAACCACTGTTGTGAAGGCGGGAGAGATTAAACAATTGTTTTAGCAGACTGTTTTGCAGTCAAAGATATTCAGCGGATGCATACGCATATGAGAGAGTGCACAAGACTGCCCTACTGCTACGCATCTGCACGTATCTCTCACAGTATAGCTGCCTTATGTGGGTGAATCGTCATTTCTTGGCGTTCAGCGGCTCAGGTTATAGACAATGAGGTTTGGCGTATGTAGATTTTATGGAAGGAATTCATAAATAGGGAGGGTGTCTTAAACGATGGCTCATTACTGGAGTGCCAGGCAGAATCTCGCCACAGGCACTAGCTGGTGGCCACTGTTGTGAATGAATTGCCTGTAACAACCAGTTTCCTTTACTAAACAACAATTCGAGCAAACATAACCACGCATATGATTCCATCGAAAAGTAATCCCTCCTAGGGCGGTCCCAAGCAACTAAGCTAAAAAATAGTACAGAACGCTAAAAAATAGC